ATTCAAAAAAGGTGCATAACCGGTCCCTCTGACAACTTTTTACAAAAAGTAAAACTGAAAACCCTATTTTACCCTTTTGTTTCCCATTTTGCTCCTCACCATTTGTGCATATAATCTCGCCGGAGATGTGACCGAATTTTCGCCGAAAAATTCGCTGAAATCAGATTTTCGCTGGAGAATACACATGGGGCGCATGATAGCGTGTGAGATCTATGTGCAGAACTTTAGGTGGCACGTGTAGACGCGTATAACGTCGTCTGTGGCTTTTATTTGTAGCGTCGTGTTCGTCTTGGTCTTATGGACCTTATTCGACGATCAAAATGTGGTTTTGATCACGTTTAATTTCTACGTTGTTGGCTCTCTTTCTCTCTCATCTCTGTAATTTTCTTACTTGTTCTGGACATGAACTGAAGTTTACCGAGAGAGACGACGTGAGATAAGAGAGAACAAGATTTTCGACTCTATAGAGAGAGAAAATCAGATATATTGTATAGGAAAATATATATACTCTCTTTTCTTTTCTTTTCTTTTTCCTTATATGATATATATACTAATATATAGAGATATATACTGTATATGATATATAGCACAATAGAAATTCCAATATGGCCAGTAGTCACTTTTTTCTCAGAACCAATATTGAACTCCTGGGCTTTCTCTCTAGGGCATTGCTCACATTCGGAACATCTATTTTCGTCACAACCTATCAGATCCAAATGGAAAGAAGAATCTTCATTTTTATTTTATTTATTTTCCTTATATGATATATATACTAATATATAGAGATATATACTCTGGCTGAAGCCCGTAAATGACCAGTACGGTGGCCTACACCGTAGACAGTAGGTCGTTGCCGCTACCAGTGGCGGTGGGATTGACATCAAAACCCAAGGAAGAAGCCACCCAGTCTACAAAATCACCAGTATCAGAAAGAAATCTCCTATTATTCAGAGGATGTGGAGAAGAAGAATCATGAGAAACTACCAACATATTCCAATTATTCTGATGTAACATTGAGATTAAAAGTACAATTTAGTTTCAATCATAAACCCTAGAAAGTTCCAAATCTAGAGTCCAAAATAGTTACCCATCTCACTGAGTGATTTTTATGGCTTCGCAACCACCCTCTCTCTCTCTAAAAAAAAAAAAAAAAAAAAAAAAAAAAAAAAAAAAAAAAACTTGAGATCCTCACAAACACACTCCCATCTTCAATCATTTAGGTACACTGATTCAGAAAAATACACTTAGAGAAAGCTGCTGCAGATTTTAGGAGAGATGAGAAAGAAAAAAATTTAAAAAAAAAAAAAAAAGAAAAAGAAAATAATAAAGGACCTAAAATGGTAATTTTACATGGTCTAATTATTTTAATAATATTTCATTTATATTAAAGAGGGTATTATCGTCATTTTACACGACCAGGACCTAATCACACCAAATTGATAGTATAGAGGAGTTTTTTACCACACAAGGACTGATATGCATTATGTCGATAGTAGAGGGGGATTTTTTGCACTTAACCCTTATATTTACTTTGAAACATACTCGACAAATTTAATTACATAACATATTTCTGTTTCGAAATAAATCCGAACGCAAAAATAAAAAAATAAAAAATATTGCTACTATGTACTTCGTATGAAATGAAATGGTTGTATAACAGAGTTTAACCAAAAAAAAAAATTAGTTAGATGACATTAGCCTTGGTTTTGCATGAGCCAGGTGTCATCATTCGAACTGGGATCCATGGCTTGGACAAGCCCGCTGGAAGTTGGAGAGCCTAGGTTTAAATGCAATAGAACTACCAAATTCAACGCTTTAATATCTACACCTATATTGTACTACCTCCGTCCCTTATTAGTTATTCATCTTTGATTTTATAACTTTTTAAGGAAACATGCAATTAATGCATTGTCCCTTTTTAAAATTATCAAATTGTCCTTTTTAATTTAAATATATATAGTTACAAAGTTTGAAATTTTTTAAGAAGATAAAAGACAAAATGAAAATATGAAAAAAAAAATATATATATATATATATACTTTAACTTTTTAAAAAGGACAACTAATTTAGAACATGTAAAAAAAAAAAATTAACTACTAAGACCGGAGGGAATACTACTAAGTCGATCCTTTAATATCTACACCGATATTGTACTATTGAGCAGAATAATTTATTGCTTCATATTGGTCTGACTCTAATAAATGCTCTAGAACTACCCAATTCAAAGTACCTTTGTTGTGTCCTATTTTCAAAATATGGGAAAAGTTGAAGAAAAAAAAAAATAGTATATATCAAGCCTATATATATATATATATATATATATATATCAAGCCCAGGGATTAAAATCCACAATCCAATAATATCTAATCACATTTCAATGTGAAAGGTTTGAAGGTACCATTTTGGCATCAATGTTTATAAATTAATTATTAGGATAAAAAGAAAATATTATTTAGCCATTTTTTGCAGCAAGAAATCTCTTCACAAGCTTTCCTTTTGATTGCAAAGTAGAAAATTTGTTTTGGAGTATTCGCTTGAGATAATTCAGGCAGTATTCTCACTAAATTGTCTAAGCGAGCTGTTAAAAAAAAAAATTAATAATAATAAATAATAAAAAGTGTAAAAACAAAAAATATGAAAAGCTGATTTCAAAAACTACATATAGAAGACAATATATCTTTTGTTAACTGAATTTTCAAAAAATAGTTATTAGAAATTCTCTACCAAACAAGTTTTTATATAATTTTCTAGATTTCAATTATGAAGAAACATAAAATAGTTCTGGAAAATTGAAGTAAGCAGATGGATCAATTTTTTTTTTATGTTATAGATTATTTTCATTGACTTTATCAAAATAAATAAATAAATAAAAGAGAGAGAGAGAGACAAATAAAAGGTGATTGTTTTCAAATTTGGTCATGTCACACCAACGACCACGCAATGGTCATGTTCAAATCTATTAATTTGCTTCTTTTCAAGAAATTTAACGGTTTATCCTCATTTTCAATTTTTAGACAAACATTAATTTACTGGCATGTTCAAGTTAGAAACTCGTGGAAGCAATCAAACTTTATAGACTTGAAAGTCATCACATAGACACACACAAACAAAGCCACAAAGTTATTTTGACCATCTAGATGCATGCATCTAGTTCAGTACATGTATTCAATTATATAATAGCAAAATTAGTTCCACTTATATATATATATATGTGTGTGTGTGTGTGTTATTTCCGTTTAGTTTAAAAAACCATTCCTCGCCTAGATCTTACATGTGATTGCCAATATGTGCAAAAAATTATAAAAAATTCACTCACATATGTGATGCATGTTAGCCCACCTCATTTATAAATTATACTATACATGAATCTTAATTATTTCATTAACTTACCTAACTATTCTTAGTATCATCTATATATATATTTATATTTACTTTGAATCATACTCAACAAATTTAATTCATAACATAATTCTGTTTCGAAAAAAATCCCAACGCAAAAATATATATATATATATATATATATATATATATATATATATATTGCTACTATGTAAATGAAATGGTTGTATAACAGACTTTTAAAAAATAAAATAAATAAATAAATTAGTTAGATGACATTAGCCTTGGTTTTGCATGAGCCAGGTGTCATCATTCGAAGTGGAACCTATGGCCTGCACGACCCGCTTGAAGTGGGAGAGCCTAGGTTTGGTTTCTACTTCGTGGTCCATTAGCCAAGCCCACTAGTGGCCCAAGGACCTAACAAAAAAGTTTGATGAGCAAGATAAGCAAACTAGCTAGGAAGAACAAATTTGAGGTTGGATGTGAGGTGAATGATGGTAAGGATTGATGAATTTATAGAGGATAAAAGAAAGGCAACAAAAAAAATTTAACTAATAGTGTCTTAATGGTTATAATAGCAGAATAAGTGCAGAATTTTTTTTATAAAAAAAAAAAAAAACAAAAAAAAAAACAAAAATTTTGAATTTCTCCTATTTTTTTTTCTTGGGCTTTTTTGGAGACACTGCTCTTTTGGTTCAATTGTTTTGAGGAAAAAAAATACAAAGAAAAAGGGCAAAAAATTGATTTTTGGGAATTGTTTCACCCAATCACTCCCTTATAACCCGTTTCTGGCCAGCTATGCATCGCCACATGGGTCGCCAGAAAGGTCTAACTCATTGCTTTTAAAAAAAATTAATGCATATGAATGATTTGATCAATTTTGATCATGGGCATGACCATTCAATTTAAAAATTATTTTGTTTCAAAATTTATTCATTTTACATTGTTATAGTACGGAAAGTTACTATTGATAGTAATAAAAATTTCACCATGGAACTGCTAAAAATAAATAAAAAAGAACCCAAGTCAAGTTTGATCCTCCAAAAGTTTAAGCTTGACTTAGGCTTAGCACATGTTTTTGAAATTTGGTTACATCGAAAGTAGATCTATTGCCTAGAATGCCATGCAAAATTTCATCATCAGTCTTTTATTTTTTCAAATTTGTCTCATTCTCCTTTGTTTCTTGGAAGCATCGAAAGTAGATCTAGCCACAATTGCAACTACCATGCATAATTCTTCTCCTCAAATTTTGTATTTATTTATTTATTGTTCTTTGTAGTGGTGCTAGCTAGCCACAATTGTAACTACCATGCATAATTCTTCTCCTCTAATTTTGTATTTATTTATTTATTGTTCTGCAGGGACTGAAGTAGTACTTAAATGGGACTTTCTGGCATGAGTTTAAGCATATTAAGGTCATTTTACAATGTTTTCATATATGTTATAGTTGCATGTTGCTACTTGTGCTTGATGAATGCAAGCTTTTCTACCACTGCAGCCACCTCTAGACTGGATGGGAATGAGACCGATCGACTTGCCCTGTTGGCATTCAAGGTCAAAATAACCAACGATCCTTTCAAGGTTATGAGTTCATGGAATGATTCCATTCACTTCTGTCGGTGGAATGGTGTTTGGTGTGGTCGCCGGCACAAAAGGGTCACCAATTTACTGGATCCATTCCTATTTCAATCTGCAATGCAACTAACCTTGAAGCGTTACTAATCCTTGGAAACAATCTTAATGGAAGAGTGCCGACCATGGAAAGGCTACAAAAGCTTAAGGATGTAAACATCAATCGGAATCATCTTGGAAGTGGAGGAGTTGGTGACTTGAGCTTTATCTCCTCTCTGACCAATGCTACAAATTTAAGTCTATTGTCTATAGACGCAAATAATTTTGGAGGAATGCTTCCCCAATCTGTTGGCAACTTGTCAACTAAGCTTGAAGTCTTCACTCTAGCTAATAATCATATATTTGGAAGCATCCCGGTTGCAATTGGGAATCTCATCAACTTGAATTGGCTAAGTATGTGGGGCAACCAATTCACAGGTAACATTCCGACTCAGATTGGAAAGCTTCAGAAACTCAATATATTGAGTCATTCCATCCTCTCTAGGAAATTTGAGTTCGTTAATTGAGTTATATGTGAACGGAAATAATCTTCAAGGAAGTGTCCCTTCAAGTCTTGGAAAATGCCAAAATTTGTTGTTGCTTAAGTGTTTCTAAAAACAAACTTAATGGTACCATACCCCTGCATGTTTTCAATATCTTGTCCTTGTCACGCTCTCTTGATCTTTCTCAAAACCATTTCACTGGTTTCCTTCCTGTAGAAGTCGGAAACTTGAAAAATCTTGGTAGATTGTATGTTCATGAGAACATGTTATCAGGTGAAATTCCAAGCACAATTGGTAGTTGTGTAAGTTTAGAATATTTAAATATGGATAGTAACTTCTTCCAAGGAAGCATCCCCTCATCTTTGAGCAATCTCAAAGTTATTCAAGGATTGGATCTTTCTCGCAACAATTTTAAAGGCAAAATTCCAGATTATTTCAAGAGCTTTCAATTGTTGCAGTATTTGAATCTTTCTTATAACAATTTTGATGGCATGGTACCAATAGAGGGTGTGTTTGGGAATGCAAGTGCAATTTCAATCATGGGCAATAGTAAGCTTTGTGGAGGTATACCTGAATTACAACTGCCTAGATGCAACTTCATGGATCCTAAGAAGAATGGTTCCACTCTTTCTTTCAAGATGGTAATCACCATAGCTTCGGGACTTTTAGTAGTGACTTTGGTGTTCTCTGCTCTATATGTTTGTTGGTGTATAAAGAGACGCGAAAAACCTTCTACCGAAGATTCAGGAAGCTTGTTTTTAACAGTGTTCTACCAAAGTCTGTATAGAGCTACCACTGGGTTTAGTGAATCTAATTTGATAGGGGTTGGTAGCTTTGGGGTGGTATATGAGGGAATATTTGATGGCAAGCAGATTGCTGTCAAGGTACTTTTCATCACTGGATGTGAGGCCTTGAGAAACATCAGGCATCGAAATCTTGTGAAGATACTCAGTGCATGTTCGAGTGTTGATTTTCAAAATAATGATTTCAAGGCTCTTGTTTATGAGTTCATGGTCAATGGGAGTCTAGATGACTGGTTGCATCCAATTGGAGGACATGGTGAGGTGCCAAAAGATTTAAGTCTTGTTCAGAGATTACATATTGCCATTGATGTTGCTTGTGCGCTGGATTATCTTCACAATGATTGCCAAACTCCCATAGTCCACTGTGATTTGAAGCCAAGCAATGTTCTTCTGGACGACAACATGACTGCACGTGGAGGTGACTTTGGGATATCAAGATTCCTTCGTGATGCTAACCATTATGATAGCAGAAATCAAACCAATTCTGTTGGACTAAGAGGATCTATTGGTTATATGGCTCCAGGTAATTATTACAAATTATTTTACTCTTCCTTTTCTATTTCGCTTTTCATTACTATAATTGATTTACAAATAATATGTTTTCAAATGGCAGAATATGTAGAAGAAAAAAAAAAATCCCCTTGCCAACAGACATTTTTATCAAGTATTAGAGCATAAGAAAAGATAAACATTGCTTTTTGTGTTTTCTGTTACTTTTTTCAAGCTATGATTGAGGTTTTGTGAAGTTAGGGTATCTAACTTGATCGTTGAACAAAAAGATGGAGCCAAAAAAGAAACGATTATTAGCTAATATTGTTTAGGCACTCAAACTTGAGACAGTAATGGCAAAAAAATATGGTTTTAAGGCCCCAAATTAGACTGGCAGATCATAAGCACCATCTTTTTAGGCATTTGTTTGCTAGATGAACTGTTTTTATATTAGCAAACTGTGTTCATGACAAAATTTTACACCATTTAAACTTGGCCATCGAAAGCTTATTTTATGGCATTTAATCTTTGGACCCCCTATATGCTAGGATTTCATTTAAAGAAGTATCTCCTTCTTCAACTTGAAACAATTCATATGGACTTTTCAAAAACTCTTGTTTTGTTTTATTTTATTTTTATGCTAAAGATAAATTGTTTTATTTGCTTATATCAAGAGATATATAATTGAACCAACTCCTTTACATTTTTTTTCCTGGATTGTGTGGAGTGAAGAGTATGGCATGGGAAGTGGGGTGTCAACATCTGGCGATGTATACAGTTATGGAATACTCTTGTTGGAGATGTTTACAGGAAAAAGGCCAACTGATGAAATGTTCAATGATGGTTTGAACCTTCATAACTATGCTAAGATAGCTTTGCAAGAGAGAGTAGTCAATTTTGCAGATTCAGTACTTCTTCAACAACAAGAAGAGGGGGAGAATTTTCACAAGATTCAGGAGGGTTTGGTTTCGATATTTAGAATTGGTATTGCCTGTTCAACAGAATCACCAGCTGAAAGATTGGATATTAGTGACGTTGTAACAAAGTTGCGTGTCAACATGGACAATCTTTTTGGAACACGTCAAGGAAGAAGAATTACAACTGCAGTTCAATCATAGTAAGTATGACCCCATCACTTACAGTAACTCAGATAAATTAGCTGCATGCATTTCTCTGTTATGGTAGCCACAACACCAGGTTCTCATGTTATTATCTTTTTTTTCCTTTGGGTACTATTGTAATCTCCCTATCGATGTGTTGGTGTCTTAGGTAAATATTCATCGTTCAGATTCATATTCCTTGTGTACATCAACCTTCTTACATCTTTTAACATAAAATTGAAGTTTTCTAAACCTAAATCATTTCTTTTTATTACAGGTGCATGGTGATGGGACCAAATACAATTCTAAGAAGACACTAGTTAGTTCACTTCTCATATAAACAGATTCGTGTAATTTCTTGTGAAATAGTTTGTATTCAGAATTTTCATGTCATGTTTATAGTTGGTTTGTTGTTAAAATTTGTTTGTGTGGTGCTCATAGACTCATAGTTTGGCTTTTCCTTAATTCGTTCGGTTAGGTATTGCATATGTAAGGTTTTGAACTTTGAAAGTTTGCTTTCCTTACAATGTCAGGTTTGTGTTTTATCTGTCATTAATTGCTTAAGTAATTGAGTCAATTCATTTTTGGAAACACACTAGCTATAATAAGGACTAAATAAATATCATAAGAAGCTATCATATGTAGTTCACATTCTCACACTATGGATTAGTTTGGTTAGATGGAAATAGCATGAAAGGAAACGAAATGCGAAATGCAAAATGTAAAATTTCTAAACCTTTTAAGAGTTTGGATAAGCAAATGCAATGTTGCCCCAATGGTTGGGATTGGGGGTTGTTCCCGTGTCCGAACCCTACACTCACCCTCGCCCCTCTGACGACTAACCTCCAACTTTCTTGGCATGATATAAAAGAATAAAAAGTTTGGATAGTAAGAAAAGGAAAAACATTTCCTATATCTTCAGAAAATATATATGAGATTTCAATTGTACCCCTCTATTTAAGGCAGTTTCACACTATTAAAATCATAAAGTAGTAATGTTAAGAATTTTTTTGAAAAAAATTTCATGCCGATGATGAAAATTTTATTTTGCCTTTCTTTCACTTCACTACCAATTTCCATCTCACCAAACAACTCATAAGAAACAAATCTAGATTTCAAAATGCATAATTTGTCTCTTCATGAACTTTCCTCTATTATTATTATAGTTTATTTTTTCCCCCCGAAATTTGAATGTTCTTCTAATATTAATAATACTACCCAATTCTTTAAAAAAAAATTCAAATCCTTGCAAACTAAGGGGGACTCGGACATGGGTACACCCGTTCAGAAAATTGAGCGGCTAATTATTAGCTTTTGGGATCAGAAATCCAACTCATGTCTATCACTCGATCAATATCAAGATTAAGCTAGTAAGGCTCTCCTGCAAACGTGTATCTGTCGGATGGTCCTGAGATTCTCCCACTACTACGATGAGGTGTCGATGTACTCGAAGGTGGAGGTGCTGTGATGTTTCCAATTCTCTTTTTTTTTCATTTTTCTGGAACTTTTGTCGCTGTAAGGGCATTTTCGTCTTTAGAATGTGCCGGTTGTGTCCTCGAGTTGTTTGAAGGCATTTCATTGAGTACAGGACTCTTTGAAATGCAAGGGTGATCATTTTTGTACTTTTCTGTTTTTCAGGCCAGACGGTCCAGTGTGGGACCCGTTACCGAACTTGTCGTGTACAGGGATTGTAATTGAGTCCATTAGCATTTCATGCATTTTATTTGATGCATTTTAATGTGGGTTTTATTTGGTTGGATGTATATATAGAAATTGGTGGGAATTTATAAAGAAAAGAAAATAAAATAAAATATTGTTGGGACCCACAAGCACTTAAAGTGGTCATGAGACCACTTTTTGTTCTCATTTTTTCTGTCATTTCCCGTAAGCCTCTCTCTCTCGTTCCAGACTCTTTCTTTTTTTCCTTTGTCTTGGTTTCAATCTTCACCTCTTGATTTCTCCTTCAATACTTCGTATTTTTAAGAGCCGTTTGCGGCTATTCGAAGCCCCCGAGACCTACAAGTTGATAGGAGCAATTCTTTGATTGGTGCACTATAGGGAATTCGAAATCCTAGGGTTTAAGGTGAAAATTTTGGGGGTTTTGCATAAAATTGAGGTAAGGGTCTCTAATTTGCATTTTCTTGTTCCGTTGTGAGTCAATTCTTGTTATTTGATGCCAACATGCTTAATTGAAATTAATTACCTCTAAAATGATTTTCTTGTGGGTGTAAAATTCATGATTATATGTGTAATTGTTGATTTGTATAAAAAGCATGCTTCAATATTAATTTCTTTATGCTGACAAAATTGCTAGAAATGATATATGGAAGCTTATGAAAATTTTCTTAGAATTATTGTAATTTCTTTATGTTATTGTGTTAACAAAATTGATAAAAATGATACATGGAAACTCATGAAAATTTTCTTAGAATTATTGTAATTTCTTTATGTTATTATGTTAACAAAATTACTAAAAATGATATATGGAAGCTCATGGAAATTTTCTTAGAATTATTGTAAAGCTTGTTTAACTATGGAAGTATTATGGAAATTTGTTCTTGCCCTAGCATTGAATACATGAGACATACATGCATACCATGGGGCATGAATGACGGGAAATGATTTTGAATAAATAAAAAGAAGATTTTGGGGAGAAATTTGAGAAAAAGGTTTTGAGGAAAACTCGGTCGCCGCGGAGTCACCGAAGGACCGGTGTGTTAATAAAGCCTAGAGGGAATTAGAGAGATTGCCCTAGCGTGGTTGAGCTATCTGGGCCCCAAATGACGTTGCGCAGGTACCAAAGGTCAGGGACAGTGACCAATCCTTCTCTCGTGTCGCTGCAGAGTCACCAAAGGACGAGTTATATTAACAGTTTGTGAAGTGATGGATGTTTTCTGAAAATGGGGAGTGACATGCATAACATTGCATTCATAGCACGAGATTTATTTGCCTTGAACTTGGAATTGATATTGTGTTTTCCCGGCTTTGCATGACCCCAATTCCTATTGTCTTATTCTCTGTTTGGATTCACGAGATTTCAAAAGATGCGTCTTAGGCACTACTTACTGAGCTTTACGCTCACCCCATTATTTAACATTTTTCAGGACCGGAAAATGAAATAGTGGTTGCCGATCCCTCTCAAGCATGAAGAGAACTAAAGATCTATTTTGATACTTTTTGTGTTTTGGTTAATTTTTGTAAAGTCTCAAATTATGGAAAAGAGTATTAATTTATTTTATCATGGCCATGTAACATAACTAAAGTACTTGACTATTTTTGGATGTAAATTGAGACTATGTAAATGCTTAAATTGAATGGGATGACGATGATGGGCCAACTCGAACAGGTTGTTGATGTGATAGTATTGGGGAATGTATTATATATTTTTTTTGTATTGTGTGTTGGGACAGGTTGGATAAGTCTTGAAAGGCCAAGAAAGGTCGTTGCATTTTTTTTTAATTAAGCAGGTTCTTGTAAACCCTTTTTTAGCAGAAGTCATGCCAAAATTTTTTTTTTTTTTTTTATAAATGGTACTCCCTCTGTCCTTGAATAGAAGTCCATGTTTAGAAATTAGAGTTTTTAAGGGGAAATGCAATTAATGCATTGTCCCCTTTTAAAATTACCAAATTGTCCTTTTTAATTTAAATATATATAGTTACAAAGTTTGAAATTTTTTAAAAAGATAAAGGATAATGATGGAAATATAATGAAAAGATGCTTTGACTTTTCAAAAAGGACAACTAATTTGGGACATATAAAAAGAGAAAAATGGACTATAAATTAGGGACGGAGGGAGTATCAGTTTAGGGTCGTTACAAATTTGGTATCAGAGCATTGATTCGAAAACCATTAGGACGACGGATAGAGGCCTACCTAGGGTTGTCTAGGAAGTCATTTGCATTGTTATTTCATTATTTACAAAAGTGTTTTGCTATGTGAAGAAGCATGCTTAACTATTTAGTTGCTTATGTGTTTATGTGTTTATGTGTTGATATTAATGTGTCCTTTTTGTGTTGAGTTGTTCACGGTTCGACTTTAGTGTTATCATTATTGAACCGTTTTCTTTGTTTTATAGAATGATGTCACGGCGTGAGGAACCAAGGGAAGTTGGCCCTAGGCAAACAAGGGGTGATGTTGGCGAGAACTCTAGCTCCAATCCGGCGGAGCCAGTTAATGAGGACACACTTTTTAGGGATTTGATTGCCCCTAGAGGTGTTCCTACAAGGAGGAATAATGTTGAAACATCCATTAAAGAGGGTGAAAGTTCGGCGGAACTTGCATTGAATCGCTTGTTGCAGAGGGCCTTAATGGCCACAATTGCTTCTCATCCACAGCTAGTACCTCAACCAGTACCACAACCTGTAGCCCAAGTTGAGGAGATACCAGCACAGAAACGTCTCAAGTTGATTTATGGGTTTTCCAAGTTGATGCCAACGATGTTCGAAGGTGGTGCAGATCCTATGGTAGCGGACGACTACATAGATCAAATAGAAACTCATTTGACCTCTATGGATAAGATGGATGATCATGTGAAAATCATCCTAGCCACTTACAAGTTTACAAAAGATGCTAAGCTTTGGTGGAAGTCGGTTACAAATCAGTATAAGATTGAAGAGATGAGTTAGGATAAGTTTAAAGAGTTGTTTTACGAGAAGTATTTTTCAGTCACCAAGAGATAGGAGTTAAAGGATCAGTTTATTGGCCTTATCCAAGGCAATATGTCAGTGACAGAGTACGAGAACAAGTTCACCTCACTCTCTCGCTTTGCTCCAAAGATGATGAGTAATGAAGTTGACAAGGTTCGGAAGTTTGTCTCCGGGATTGATTACAAGATGAGGCCGTTTATGACGGCACAATATATCAAAGTTTATTCGGAAGCAATGGAAAGAGCATTGATGCTAAAGGCGGAGGCCAAAGATAAAAATGTAAGAAGGGAACAATGGAAACAAAAGAGGAATGTAGGACCATCTTCAGAGGGACCTTCATGGAAAAGGACCAGGGGTGGTTCATCTCAATTTCAGGGACAGCAGTTTGCACGATCTGCTCCTACCACTCTGATAGAAGTGGAGTCGTTTGTTTTCAGTGTCAGCAGCCTGGACATTACAAGTTCAATTGTCCCATGAGATCGACTTCAGTTTCTTCAGCTCCGAAGGCTTGTTATGGGTGTAGCCAGCAGGGCCATTTGATTCGAGACTGTCCGAGTCAGGGAGAAGGAACCACTAGTGGCAGAGGGGTCACAGCAGAGGCCGTCACAGTCGGCTACAGTTCAGTTAGGTTTCAGACCACCGCCACCACCACCGCCTGCCATGTCTTCCCAGGGTTCACGACCAACTAAGAGGGATACTCCTACTGTGTCGGCGCAGTAGTCTGGTGTTCAGATTTGTGGTTCTCAGGCACAGGCACCGCAGGGACGTGTCTTTGCACTTGCACCGACTGATGCATCTCCTAGACTGTCAGTTCTCCGAGGTATCTTTCCAGTGTTTGGTTCTTGGGCCTGTGTTTTGTTTGACTCTAGTGCATCTCATTCCTTCATTTCATCATCATTTGCACTTACATCGGGGTTAAAGGTCAATTTCATGGATTGGGCATTGTATATTGATACGCCAGTTGGGATTTCAGTGTCTTTGAGCTGAGTTGTGCGGGATTGTTCCATCGTGATAGTCGGGTGGACTTTTGTGTTTGACCTTATCCTCTTAAAGATGACTAGCTTTGATGTCATTCTCGGGATGGATTGGTTAGCTTCCTTTCGTGCCACGGTCGACTGTTTCAGAGGTAGAGTCACAGTTTGCACTCCTGAGGGAGACTGTTTCTCTTTCGTGGGAGATTTGAGTGATTCCCACATTTCATCGTTTTATAGAATTCGTGAACGGAGTCGTGGTGATTCCTTCTTGGCTAGTCTTCTAGCCGAAGAAGATGGTGTTGTGGAAGAAGATTATTCTGTGGTTATTCGTGATTTTCCGGA